CACCTCACCTCTCCAAGATACCTTGAAGGACCTATCTGAGTGGTAGGACCTATCTGACCTTTACAGTGGCAACTCCTTGTAACTCTACATACTACATGCAAATGAGACATACTTGTCTTACGTAAAACTTAAAGCTGCCACAAAGATAATTATCCAGTATGTTGATGCTATTGAAAACACTTGGTTCCGCAAAGTAAAAGGCACACCTTAGCCTTTTTATGTAGATCATTTTCATTGTTATTCATTGAAAAACATGTCTGTTCAATGAATAATGCAGGTTGTGGCAATTGTAAATCAATCTGCATGGGGAAAAATGTCTTACTGGTTAAGAAATGTTTTCTTCTGTTGTATAAAGTGTTGATGCTTTTGAAATTAAAATAATTCTAGAAATCAAATTGAACTAAATAAGTTTGAGAAAATATACAGCTTTTTTACCACAAATACCATTACACATTCTTCAGTAAAATCACTATTTTATTTTATAGATTCTAATTTGCTATATATATCTGTAACACACACAAAAAAATGTAATCAAAATAGTGCAGAATCATATTTGATAGGCCCGGCGAGGGAGAAGTGGCCTGAACACGATTTCTGCCGAGGGGTCCCGAGTCAATATGCAGCTGTACAGGGGACCCAAAAAACCATAGCGGCACCCCTGTTTAGCCCCATATACTGTATAAATTCGTTATACTGAATGACTATTATGCTACATTTCCAAAAATACAACTACATTTGTTACATTTCATTCAGACACTGTACTGTATTTTACAAATGTAATGTTTTAAATGTCTATCCCTGCATTCTGTTTTCAATCTGCAATTACACTGCAATGCCTCTTTGTGACTGTTTTACTGTAGCACACAAAGACAAACTCAAGATTTTTTGGATTGTTGCCTTTTTGTTTGGTGGTAAGTCTTTATTTTTCAAACAACATAACTGCTTCCTAGCACATGTTCAAAATGAAAAATGGCTTTGCTTCAAGTAAATACAAAGTTTGAAAAGGCAAATGAATAAGACAAGAGGAAAAACAGTCTTTGGGCTTGACATGTTCGCAGATGCCGTTTCATTGTGCAGTACCATGCAGAATAATAGCTCATTAAAAGCGCTTTACACCTCATTTAATGTGACATCGCGATGCTTTTTTGATTAAACATTAGGTTATTTCATTGTGATGTTAGCCGTGGATTCAGTGGATCTTTCTGGAGCCGTTTCTGTCCTTCTTATCGTCATCTTCAAGTAAACCAGTGCACTACAGCTGATCTTTGACTGTCGTCTTAGAGCTGACCGTTTCCACCGTATATGCACACTTCATCCCAATCTAATACTGAACAAATCACCCGGAAACCACTCAGACCTTCATCTCTCAGTGGGAATGAGGGAATATACAGGTTATGGGTCAGAAAGGTAGTCAAAGGCATTTATATACATATCTGGTTTTTGGTGGGGTTCTTTTGAGTCCTTAACACAACATTCAGCAAAGCACTCCTGTCACCATGCCGTGTGAGCTCCATGGCCTTGTCCGAAAACGTGTTCAGGCTTCGATTTGGCAGGCGAAATGTCGCTTCTCCCTCTCTAGCTATTCCACACTAAGGATATGAGGTCAGATGTTTTGGATAGGGTCATGTTCGATTGGTTTGAGAGCAGCACCTTCAACTAAAACAGTGTGCAAATGTTTTCCTCTGGCTCCTACAGCACCTTGAGCTCAGCAACCTGACTAAACTCCTCCCCTTTCCCCGCCTTCCCTGCCAGCTCTCAGAGTCAGGTGACCAGCTGCGGCTCCCAGGATTGGCTGGCCACCTGGGGGCGGCACTGTGCGATGAGCGGCGGGCCTGAAGGAGGCTGGCTATCCAGACACAAGCCGCTGATCATGTGCTGCAGCGCTGGACCTCTGGGCTTCCATTTCTACAAAAAAAGTGAGGATGGGTTCATTACATTTATAGTAACACATGCAATTGCTGTAGACGAACATCCCACAAATAAAGCACAGAACAGGGTGTAAGAATTGCTCTTCTTCTTCTTCTTCTTGTTCATGAAATTATCAGCAAAAGAAAACAGAAACCCCTTATAATGGTCGTCTGAGAAGGTCAAACTAAATATTATGTATTTCACTTTACATTTATTTTGTACGTAGTTTGCCATTTTTGCAACATTGTTATTATAATTTGAGGCATGTCTGAAAAGAGTTTATAGAGTGAATTTGTTATGTTCGATTAGGGTTATAACCATTAACTAAAACTGAAACAACAAAATAATTTGCTTACTTGAAATAAAAATAAACATGAACTGAAATCAATAATAATAATAATAATTATTATTATATATATATATTTCAATTAGCTGCCAAAGCATGTCTCATTTTAATTTAGTGTAGGTTGAAATACTAAATTAACAAACTACATAAACTAAAATGACTAAAATAAAAACGTAATTTATTTAAATGAACTTAAATTGTTATAATTCATGAACGCTTTTGAATACAGACCTACGGTTGGTCTCTTTTGAAAGAAGACAATCAGCAGAAGTGAAATCATTTCAAAAAATGAAAGTATAAAAAAGTTGTAGAAGTTTAGATTTTCTGAAAAAGAAAATGTACTGTACTATTTTGATTATATTTTATATTTAGTTTTTTGGTTTTAGTCCAAAATTGATATAAAATTAAAGCCATGTGTCTAAATAAGCTGTATTCCAAATTTGAAGTTGATATAAAAAAATTGAGGTTCCTATGCAATTTTGTTTAGGCGTTATACCACAAATAGGCACCGGGTGCCATCCAAACTCCATTGGATTTTTGATGCATTTTTCTGTCACAAATGTATAAATTTCCCTCTCAATATTACTTCTATCACAAAATATGGACAGACACCATGCTGCGTTGTCACGGGAACATCCCAGCTGAAGATAATAAGGAAATTACGTCGCTCCCTTTGCCAAGTGCATTCAAACAACTACATAATGGCACGCATGTGCCCTGCTCACTCCAAGGGCTCTGGCCTTCAGAGGCACAGGGATGATCACTTCCATTTGGAATTTTCCCTGTGAACCGTACGGTACGAATATGTGTACCGTTACACCCCTATAATTTATGATGAATACTAAAACGTGATAGGGAAAAACATTTTTTTGTGTGACAATGGTCAGAACTCCTGTTATGATGGATATGTTTTGAGGTGCACTATTGTCATAAATTAATCTATTACTGTTCCTACATAGCTGGAACAGTAAAACTTAGGCGTCTCGGTGGCGGGACAGTGACACTTAAGGGTGAAAGAAAAACAAAAACTAACAATGACAAAAACACAACAAAATGACTAAAACTTCAACTAAAATTAAAGCCAAAACAAAATATTAAAATAAATTCTAACTCAAAATATTTACAAAAACTAAAATAGTATATCAATGATAGTAATATATATATATATATATATATATATTTCTTAAGTATATAATACATCTACTTTGTGTCATACGTGGATTTTCTATATATGGAGTAATTTGCATAACCTACAATCATCAACTATCTCCTTCAAATATCTCCTTCACTTGTAGAACATTTTTACACAAAACTGGAATAAAAATGCTAAATAACTGTTTCTTTCCAAACATTGACAAATGCTACAAAAAATAGAGTGACTGTAAAATGTCAAATTCAAAGAAACATACAGAGAAGCAACATTCTGAACAGAAAGCAACCTTATAATGAAATGAAAGGAATGTTGTAGCCAAGGGCATGTCTTGTGTGTGTGACTGCGTGTGACTGTATGTCATGTGACTGTCCCTGCGTTCCATTCGGAAGAGCTCATCCCTATGCCCTAACTCTCCGGAGTGAGAGCTTCGAAGGGTTGAAGGGTGTAGGGGACCAAACAACTGTTTCTTGAAGTGCCCTTCTGCGTCATCATCTCGTGCCCACACGGAGGCGCCGTCATCATAAAAAGAATCTGCACAAAGGATCATGGGAGCCCGAAGTGTCCATCAGTTGTACCCTTTGAAATCCTTCATTCTGAAGGGCCCTTTGGAGTGGCCAGTTTTGAGCACTTCGGTTTGGAACGACCCTTCAATATAACGGCCGTGATTGTTTTCACTCCAAAGTGCCCTTCAGAGGGCGATATATCGCGTTTGGAACGCACCATGAGTGTGACTGCTTTTAGTTTAGAGTGAGGTCAGTGAGTCTGAATACAGAAGGCTTGATATATACTCTAATATCCTGTGTGTGTGTGTGTGTGTGTGTGTACGCGTTTTTGTGACAAATGAGGACATAAATTTGTATAATGACAAAGGTATAACATAGGTATTACAAGGAGAAGGTGACTTTTCAGGACATTACCCCATGTCTCCACTTTTCAAAACGCTTATAAATCACACAGAATGGAGTGTATTGAAAATCTGAAATAGCAGAAAGTCTCCTGTGAGGGGTAGGTTTAGGGGTAGGGTTGGTGTAGGGCAATAGAATATACGGTCTGTACAGTATAAAAACCATTACACCTATGGGATGTCCCCACTTTTCACAAAAACAAACCTGTGTGTGTGTGCGCGTGTGTGTGTGTTTGCTGGAAGCGTGGCAGCAGGTTTCATTCAGGAGAGCAATGATCTCAATGCCAAACAGCTCTGTTCCAAACCCTATAGTGAGTCGTTTTCTGAACTAATGCCTACATAGGGCAGCAGTTTAACAGAAATGTATGCTTATAACTGACTGTAGACACTCTACATATTCAGCGCTCCTCACTACTGTGAGCCAGCCTTATTTCAGTATCACTGACATACTATTATTGTTTTGTTACAATTTTGAATGATCTGAATTCCTTTTAATTCCAAACGAAATGATTGCATCTCATTACATTAGCTTTGTACAGGTATGTTAACCTTGAATGCTCAAAAATATTTGATAAAACATATGCAAACATGAAAATAATGTGGCGTGTTGCAGTTACAATGGACATTATGCACGTATCAATGGATTTATTTGTATATTTTCTTTTTTAATTAAAGTGTTTAGTTGAAGTTTTTTTGTGAGTGTGTGCGTGTTTTTATTATTTTTTATTTGTATTTTTTAAGTTTCACTTTTGGTTATTTCAGTATATCAAGTTAAACCAATTGAAAATGTTGCCTTGTCAACTATCTGAAATAAAAGAAGATTAAAGTTTTTTTTTCAGTTAATGTTTATGTCAATGAATATATATACAGTGGGGCAAAAAAGTATTTAGTCAGCCACCAATTGTGCAAGTTCAGGGACAACACTCAACATTCCACCTCAAATGGCAACAGAATTTCACGTTATGAAATTTACATAACTTCCACAAAAACAACTAGTGCTGTCAGAATAGAGCTTAATAGTCTTCTGAAAGCAGCAGACATCAAACCTGCATGTGACTGATTCTCAGTAGCTCATGGAAACTCTAATAGCCTATGTGTCAGTTACACATACACCCACCTGTCTGGACTCTTTGATGTTGCAGGGCTCCAGTCTGACCTTTGACCCTGCAGGGAAAGCTGTGATAGCCAGACACAGGTCATGCTGACGGATCTGTGGTTCAATCAGAGTCCACTTCTGAGAAAACAGGACCGACAAATGATTGAGTGAGTAATGCAGGTGTAGAGAGCTGCTGGATATATGTAGCAAATCACAATGTGTACAGCAACCACACTCAAAGTAACTAAATATTTATTTGCCGTTTTAGTTGTTTATTTGGCATGAAGGAGTTGATAACAGTTATTTACTTTACTCAATTTTTTTAAAAATTCCAAATAAGTTCGCTCATCTCCTCCAACCTACTGCATTATGCATTATATCACCTTTGTACAGGAATATTAACCTTAATATTAACCTACATATATAGTCTCTCTCACTCTCTCTCTATATATATATATGCAAATGTGAAAATAATGTCAATATGGAACGTGCTGCAATTACAGTGTAAATTTTGCACGTATCAATGAGGCAATTTTGTAATAACTATTATGAAATATGTCTATTGACATGGTAACGGAAACATTCACAACACAAAACAAAAGGGAGGCAAATTATGCAATAATTAAAACAGATCTGTTGAGATGGTAACTAAAAAACAAAACAAAAAACAAGATAACACTTGACTTTTCAGTGGCCTTTTTACTTGTTACATGTACTTACTGTAGTAATAACAGCAAATTATGCACAGTTACACGCAACTAGTCCTAAACCAAGCTCTAATCTTAATTCTAAACTTATAGTAAGTACTATAAATTAATTAATATTACTCAGCACTTAATTATATAATTAGCCTACACTATAACAAAGTCACCTTATAATAAAGGCTGCGTTTACACTTGGCATTAAAGGGTTAGTTCATCCAAAAATGAAAATTAGGCTGTGTTTTACTCACCCCCGATGCATCCTAGGTGTATATGACTTTCTTCTTTCAGACGAATCCAGTCGGAGTTATATTAAAAATTGTCTCAGAGGGTGTTGCAGCGCTTCGGTTCAAAAGACCTGAAATAAAAAGCACCCTTTCCATAAAAAAAAAGTGTCTCACACGGCTCCGGGGGGTGAACAAAGGCCTCCTGTAGCGAATCAATGCGTTTTTGTAAGAAAAATATCCATATTCAAAACGTAATAATCACTGAATCTAGCTTGCGCTCACTGTTGTAAACTAAGCAGCTCCGGGAGCATGACGTACGAGGTCAGCGTTGCGCATTTGCCGCTCAAAAGTGACCCACGCGGAGAGATCGAAACAAAACAATAATCACTAATTAGAAGTACAAAACGAGGATTTGTAAAGAAGAATGTCGGAGGATTTCGATATAAGCCAAGAGGAGACTGGTTTTTCTTTGCTAAAGTAAGGAAACTTTGCTTCCTTTGCTCCTGTTAACAAACATTGGTTTTCACGAGACTCACCGGCAAATGCGCAACGCTGACCTCGTACGTCATGCTCCCGGGGCTGCTTCCAGTGTACAACTGTTGGCGCAAGCTACATTAAAGTGATTATTACGTTTTGAATATGGATATTTTTCTCACAAAAACGCATTGATTCGCTACAGAAGGCCTTTATTCATCCCCCCGGAGCCGTGTGAGAGACTTTTTTTTGTGGAAGGGTGCTTTATATTTCACGTCTTTTGGACTGATGCATGCAACACCCGCTGAGTACAACGATAGAGCTTGAAAGATCAAAGACAATTTTTAATATAACTCCGACTAGATTCGTCTGAAAGAAGAAAGTCATATACACCTAGGATGCCTCGGGGGTGAGTAAAAAAACAGCCTAATTTTTATTTTCGGGTGAACTAACCCTTTAACATGCGACCTGTATCCGGATGTTGTCCACATACACATTGAAAAGACAAGTGTAAACGTGCATCTGATCGGAATGCTATCCGATCAGTGTGTCCTGGTCCAGAAGTAGTCGAGGACGCATTGTGATCGGATCTCAGTGTAATGTAGAGGCGATCTTGCCATCGTGTCTGCATTCGCAAAACCCCACCCCATTTCTCGCGAACTGTCAGGGAGACTCGTACAGTTATTTTAATTTGTTAAATGTCCCGCGACTGAAAAAGGTTTCCAAAAGAAAACCCACCACTTCGGGTCGACTTTGCAGGGCCATCATCTGCAGACTTATTTAAATATTGAGCAGGAACGACACATCCGATCGGTTATCCAGATAGAGAAGTCAGCTGATGTTGCCAAGTGTAAACGCGGCGAAAGTGTAACCCAAAACAAGAACCTTTAATGGCCAAAAATATTTGAAAACATGAAAAAATGCAAAAGACAGAGTAACACAAATACATTTTTTGTATTCCCATTTGCTCAAATAGCAAAAGAAAAAAATCCACAATAGTGTATTCACAACTTTAAAAAAAAAAGACAAAAAAATAGAGAGCGACTGATAACGGCTGTGAGAAGAGAGAACAAAGTAGAATTTACCATCCCTCCTATAGACGTTGCATTAGAAACACCCTCACATTAGCGTCATTTTTAACTTTTTTTTAATTTGATGCAAAGGTGATATAATACAAAGTATAGTGTTATAAATGTACACACATTTCAGTGTTTCCCACAGACTTACACTCTATGTGTGGTGGCACTTCCCCTGGGGGAAATATATATGTATATAATGTAAACATAAAACAGCAGACAGGCTTATTGAAAGTGCAAATTCATTCTCTGCCAGCAGGAGGCGCTTTAAGAGCAGCAGAAACAGCAGTTTCCCCGGTAACGGCTGTAATCAAAACAGCGCTGCGCTCAAACGTTTATAAAGATAAGCGGTTCCCTTCAAAAAACATACATTTATATAAAAACACCCGTGCCGCGTTTTGATTTTGAAACGTGCAGTGCTCATGTTTATTCAACGAAGTCAAAGCATTTTGAAAAATCTATTTGTGGCATCAGTGTTGATATTGTGGCAGGCCGCCACAAATAAATCAATGCATGGGAAACCCTGCATTTAAAAAAAAAAAAATCAAATTATAAAAAACTTTGGAGGATTTACAATGCTGATTTACAATGCTGATTTACAATGCTGATGACCGTAGAAACGCGTCGTCACAGTCTTGTGAAAATGGTCCACTGAACAGTTTACAAAACAAAACAAAGACCTTGGGAATCAGAATCAAATCAGGTGCCAATGCCAAGTTTTAGTTTAGTCACTTTATACTCTAAAGGCTTGTGCACACCGGGACGAATATCGCGCGCGATTATCACCGGCGTTTAACGCCTCGTGACTAAACAAAGGGCGCCAATGTGAGTGTGCACACCGGCGCGCAAAACGGCAGGCATAAAAGCGTCATTTTTTTGGTTTGACGCACCGCGTTAAAAACTGGCCAACCAATGAGATTGCCGCTTTTGTTCACAGGCCTGGAGCTGCTGAAGTTACAGTAAAACATGACTTGGTGGCGCTCAAGCACAAAACGGTCTTGCCGAGCACACATTGATACCTAACGACAAAGAGGAAGTCAGTAGACGAAGAAGAAGCATCGAGGCAAGATGAATGTAGAGCTGCTAGTCTCATTGGTGTCTGAACACAAAGGGCTTTATGACAAACGCGACAGCGACTACAAAAATCTCGATAAGAGGGAGTTGTTATGGAGAGGAATTGCAGATCAAATAGGAACAGGTATTTTTCATTAAGCACCATCTAATGTCAGGGAGTGAATTTGCATGTTCATTCAGCTCATCGCCAGTGAAAATCTCTTGGGTATGAACACACAAGACGCGTCGAAAAACACTGGCGATAAGCGTGCGCGATAATCGTCCCGGTGTGTACGAGGCTTAACTCACTGAAACAACAGCTAAAATTGTTACGGGAAAAGCTAAACTATTTTGAAAACAAAAGTGCCATGCTGCTGATGTAGTTTAGTTACTGAAGCTAGTGAAAATGCTACATTCAGTCACTTATCACACACCTGTGAGGCAGGGATGCTCGGTGTGGTCTTACACTCTGCCAGACCCAGACTGTCTGTGCTTAGCGTCATTTTTAACTTTTTTTTAATTTGATGCAAAGGTGATATAATACAAAGTATAGTGTTATAAATGTACACACATTTCAGTGTTTCCCACAGACTTACACTCTATGTGTGGTGGCACTTCCCCTGGGGGAAATATATATGTATATAATGTAAACATAAAACAGCAGACAGGCTTATTGAAAGTGCAAATTCATTCTCTGCCAGCAGGAGGCGCTTTAAGAGCAGCAGAAACAGCAGTTTCCCCGGTAACGGCTGTAATCAAAACAGCGCTGCGCTCAAACGTTTATAAAGATAAGCGGTTCCCTTCAAAAAACATACATTTATATAAAAACACCCGTGCCGCGTTTTGATTTTGAAACGTGCAGTGCTCATGTTTATTCAACGAAGTCAAAGCATTTTGAAAAATCTATTTGTGGCATCAGTGTTGATATTGTGGCAGGCCGCCACAAATAAATCAATGCATGGGAAACCCTGCATTTAAAAAAAAAAAAATCAAATTATAAAAAACTTTGGAGGATTTACAATGCTGATTTACAATGCTGATGACCGTAGAAACGCGTCGTCACAGTCTTGTGAAAATGGTCCACTGAACAGTTTACAAAACAAAACAAAGACCTTGGGAATCAGAATCAAATCAGGTGCCAATGCCAAGTTTTAGTTTAGTCACTTTATACTCTAAAGGCTTGTGCACACCGGGACGAATATCGCGCGCGATTATCACCGGCGTTTAACGCCTCGTGACTAAACAAAGGGCGCCAATGTGAGTGTGCACACCGGCGCGCAAAACGCCAGGCAGGTTTGACGCACCTTTAAAAAATGCCTCAGGCTCATTTTTTTTGCTTGACGCCCC